CATTCCTTATTACAGCATTCTCATCTTGGTTCATCTGCATCTGGCTGGTGACTGCAGACTGAGCCTTTCCTCTTCCCAGAATTCTCGTAGTCTAGTCACACAACCTATACTTCCTGCCTGTCTACTGGCCAATCAGTGCTTTATAAAACTAATACAAGTGACAAATCATTACAGGGTACAAGAGCATTATCCCACATCATTTACCCTCTACTTCTTTTCAAAACAAGAATGCTCAATCTGATCTCCTTTGTTTAGCTTGTTTCCAGAGTTTCATCCATAACAACTTGTAAACAACACTATAAACAAAGACAAACTTCCATGATCTGTTTTTTTTCTTTTGGAATATGGGTATAGTTTTCTAGGCTACTTCCAGCTGATTTGGGGCACTGATAATCTTATAGAAAAACAAAGAAAATTTAAGATTATGCAAATCCTGACTGGAGTATTCTGTGTGACTGGATTGTCTCAGCCAGCAGTCTTGAGGTTGTTCTAGGTGTAGAACTCAGAGGAAACTGCAACAGTGGTGCTCTGAAATCTTGGATCATCTGGGCCATGCACTACTATCAGAGATTTTTCAGGGTGTCTTCCTCGATCAATGGAAAAAAGAAAGCATCTTCAACAAATGGTGCCACTAATTATCAGTTACGGGAGAAATAATAATTGTAACAGTTAGGTCAGAGGTGTTTGGCATGAGAAGATTAAGTCTTACCATTGTTTGTAAGAAGCAACTCAGTCTACGTGAGATCTCTTTCTGTCTTGGTCATTGGAAAGAAAATAGAAAAAAAATTAAACAGGGAGCTTTACTCAAAAGAAAAGACAGTAGACGGTCCCATTGGTTAAATGATATTAGAAAATATTCTCCATGGACATTGCTATATTTCCCTACCTGGTAGTCTTTAAAATTAAAGCAAAAATAATACCTGAAAAAAATAATACCTGATGAGAATAGTAATATTTATTCATAAAATTCAGTTCGAGCTACAGATAAAATAATTTTGTTGAACTCGTGTGAATAAACATTTAAAGGGATTTTTCCTTTACATTAACTTAGGAGATATAAATGAATGTCAGATTCATATATGGTATTTCAGAGAATGACCTTACCTGACAAATGAGTGAAATAGATACATTACCATTTTCTACAAAAGCAATTTCTGAATCAAAGTAGAGAATTGAAAAAGAAAAACACATGTAGAAAGAAAATACCATAACATTAAAAAGAGCAATATATTGCTGATTGTAAGCTAATTGATTATATACCTGTAAAACAAGTGTTTCTACTAAACTTTAGTATCATGAACAAAAAAGAAATCAGTTCCAAATTAGTTTCCTTGGCTTAGGAGAAAAATAATAACATTTCTAATTCTGTTTCTATTTGGAGGATAAATTCTTTACCAGAGAGATGAACAAATTAGATTCACTTAATATCTAATTATCCTCTGTTTTTCATTAGGAAGAAAGAGATGGGGGTGAGAAATACAAAAAGGTATATGGAGACATATAATACATATCTAAGCTGGCTTTAAAACCCATGTAAAGTGAAAATAAAGAAAACAGTACCATGTAAAAAAATCATTGAACTAACAAGGTTGAAATCTAAGGTCAGAATATTTACTTACAATATAAATTAGCATAGGTTTTTCTAACCTCATTATCCTCATATAACAAACCTGAAAAAGTTTTGGGAAGAACTTGGGCAAACAGGACAGGTTAGTAAAACAAGATACTAACAAAGTATTTTAATGAAATAAAGGAAGTTTTAATTCTTTTTATAATGTAACAATTCCAAAATAATAGTGACTTTGCAGAATAATTCATGCATATACATACCATATTCTGAATATCTATTGTCTTTGAGTTAATCCATATGGAGGAGGATAATGCTAGGCAGAATCCATCTTTACTGTTAATGCAGTTGAAGGGCCAGCAGTAGAAGAATTGCAGAACAAAAGGGATACAAGCAATCCATAGTCCTACTTCACTTTAAATCCTATGAATAATAACAGAGACCACCATGCAAGTTATATTCAACTGTGCAATAGTAGCACTTATAGATTAGGGATAAACTTCAGCAGTCTAATTGAATTTAAGGTCCACTTAATAGGAGATAATTCATGCCTAGTGCTACACCCATAGCTGGTGAGGTCATGGGACCATACAGAGAACTGGTCAAAATATAGAGAACAATTGACTATGGAATGCCCAGCCCCAACTGATACATGTGCAACACAACCTCTATACCTAACGTCCAGAGGATATTTCAGAAAAGCAGGCAGAACTGTAAAATCCATAGGACCAGGATATATGCTGTGAGATAGTATTTTCTGTTTATAACAGGGAAATTGTATCCGTGAAATATGAAATATGTTTCCCTAAACAAGACCTAAACAATGACCTCATCAACTGGCATGTCAATGTAGACAGGGGAAATCTCATAAGGCTCTACTCCTAGATGAAGAACTATAGTAATGTAATGATTGCTGAAAGAGGAATAATCAGTCTTCTAGGAAAGTCCCTTTTTCATTTCCAGGTAGTCAGCCCTAAACCTATATACATGCAAGAAACATTATATGTACTCAAAAGTCTATATTTGTATATGCATGAATAATATATATAATATATGTTCATACATTATTTATAGTTATATATTTCAATGTATTCTGTAAATATATAATATATCCATACACACAATTATATATATATGTGTGTGTGTGTGTGTGTGTGTGTGTGTGTGTGTGTGTGTGTGTAAATTACTGGTTAAAATGGCTACAAAGGGACAACAGGTATACAAAGAGGTACAAAGGTCCTGAGATGCAAGTATATCTGATGTATTTTAGGCACAGCTAGAAGCCCCTTTGACTGAAACAGGATAAATGAGAGAGACACTATTAGGTAAATAATTTAAATCAGTTAAGGGGGAAAAGAAATGGCTGGACTGTAAAGACCCTAATTAGAGCTATGTTTTTTGCTATTAGTATTCTCTAAAAACATTAATTTTGTCTACGAAGTAGCATTTCATATTGGGAAGACAAAAGAGAAAAATTGAAAGTATAAAAGGCTTGGCTTCTACAAATTTTGATACCATTATTTTCTTGTAAGAATTTGCGCCAAATGCTTAATGAAAATTTGAATTTAGAAGATTTCTTTCCCTCTACTTTAGCAGTAGTATCCTCTTTATGCCATGATTGTGTGAGATTAATTTTTTTAAAAATAAGAATAATTATAAATCTACTAGATTGCCTAAGAGCAGGTGGTTGCTGACATATTCTTTATTCTCTGGAAAACAACATGGATCAAACAGCAAAATAATAGTCTTGGGTAGGTATAATTAATAAAGCAGAGAGACATATTATTTCCTCAAAGAAGAAAGGAACTAAAGGAAAGTGTTGCAGCAATAGCAATAACAACTGAGGTCTAGAGGCTCTTGTAATTGTAAAGCAACTCTTGTTAACCTAATTAAAATAAAGGGACCTCTATTGACCTAAAAGAAATTCCAAAGGATAAAATTGTGAGAATGCATGACTTTGTACTGGATACTTTACATAGCATGGTGCCTGAGGTCTTATTCAGAGAGTTCATGGTATTATAATTATCATGAAAGAGACTTAATATAAACACAACAGAAGCAGAAATTTAATGAATAACATAAGTGTTATTTTCATATTCCTAATTATTTCTTATTAAAATGAAGAATTTTAAATATACATGTAGCATTTTTTATAATTGTCATTTCTTGTTACATTTACACAATTCATAATTTTTGTTTCTAAACATTTTTCTACAGCCAATTGAATTTTTGTCATAAATGATTATCATTTACACTCAACATCTTTTGTACTGAAGCTGTACTTTCCTGATGAGTATTGTAGAGTATAGTCTGTTGAATGTCGTGTTTCAAGAGAAGCATATAGAAATGTATCAGTGCCCTACTTAATTGTTGCCAGTGCCATGGGAAAGGAAGTGATTACTACAAATAAGACCTTTCAAGTTCAAATAGGCTTAATGTAGTCAATTGGCGGTTCTTCTCTTGAAATAAGAGGGTTAATATTTGAGAGAAATATTTTTTGAAAAAGAAAATTGTAGAAGTTGCTGCCACATCAAAAATCAACTTAGACACTATTAAATTTATATTTAACAGAGTTGCTATATCCACGCTTCTGGTTTTTTTTTGTTGTCTATACACAGATGTGGATCTAAAGTAGGAAATGTGTCACTTTCATCTTGTCTTGATTATTTTATGTTGATTACAAATTATATAGATGAAGTAGAGTGTAATGAAAGCCAAGAAAAGAAGGCAATAGCAGTTCAATTCCACAGTTAACCAATTGTGGAGTTAGAATAAACATAAAGTCTTTGTCATGTTGTTTTAAATGTAGTAAACATTCTACCGTAATAGTCGATCTATTTTGTTAATACTTTTTTCATAACAAATACTCACTGAAATGCTAGCAGCTGTGAGGTTTTTCTTGTCTTCATCATCGTGAAGTATATAGACTAGACAGATAGTTTAGTTTTATAGTCAGTTCCTAGTCTGCCCACCTTCAGAAATGGTCATAGCACGTTTAATGCCCAATAGATATTTAAAATTTAAAAAAGAAAAGAAAATGAAATAATTTATGAGCGTCAATTTTCAATCTTGGCAAATTTTTAATCACTTCACCTTTGACCCAGTTCTTCTCGATAACAATATGCATGATCAGACAAAGGAAAACATTTGAGCACATCTTTCATCCACAGTACTGAAAGGTAAAATTTTAGACTGAATATGATTCAGCTATATGACTGATATATTCCCTTTGAGAATAAGATCATTCCTTAATATGGAATAATGTGGTAGACTTGGAGCACATCTTGTAGAGAAACTCAATCATACTTTTATGATTCTGCGGAAGACCTTTTGTCTGTAGAAGATGTATTCTTGGTTCTTATTAGCTCCAGCCTTGCATTTATATGTAGTATGAAGTATAGACTTTGTCAAAACATTGCTAATTTAATTTTCTTTTGCTTCAGTGCCTGAGCCCCAAATTTCTGATGAGTGAAAATACTTCTGAGAAACAAAATTCGAAAGAGTATTTTCTAGACTTCGATTTTTAAGGTAGGTGAAGCAGGTCCCTTTAACAGCATTTGTTATATAAACACATTCCTTTTAGGAAGAATCTTGGGTGAATCACAGGATTCTTTACAGAGCTAAGGCAGGCTCAGAGACTCAAGCACAAAGGAGAGAGGTTTGTTGGGGCTGGATCAATAGTGGATAATTGATAAGTATCAGGGCCTTCCTCCCTGGTAATTCTAATGACCATAAACCCTCTCTTAGCCCCTGTCATTCTTAATTCCCACTAATCTGCTCTCTTACGATTTTTCAGAATTGCGACCTCAGCGACGCTTCTGGCCAACCTTGGCCAGAGAACTCAAAACTAAGGTCTGCTCAACAATGTGGCATAGCGAGACCAGGTCACAGTTCAACATGGATGACAGACTTCATAGTGTAAAACTCTACGTCATGAAAGAAGATGAGAAATGGGAACATATAGGCTCAGGTCAAATTTCAACCAAATACATCGGACGGCTGCAGGGTGTATGCCTACTTCTTCATTCAGAATTAGATGGCTCTCGGCTAATAGAGAGCAAAATTAATCCTGATGTGACATATAAGAAACAACAAAGGAATTTAATTATTTGGACTGATGCTAATAATCAAACTATGGCACTATGTTTCCTAGAGCCAGATGGCTGTCAAGATATCTGGAATGATATCTGCCAGGTTCTAGGTAAAGACCCAAGCGACCAGATCTCTGAAGAGCTTACCGGGGTGAATGACAGTTTTCAAGAACTGTCCCAAATTGAGAATCTGTTTCAGATGCCTAAATGTGAACTAGGTAAACTTGACAACATTGCAGATTTATTTAATATTGTAGAAGAATCGCCATGCCTCAAGGAACGGCTGGCTCAGCTCTTGGAAAGTGAAGATTACATCAAAAAGTTGCTACAGATGTTCCACACTTGCGAGGAACAGAAGAACGTGGAAAGGTTACAGGTTTTACATGTCATTATTAAAGGAATCCTATCTCTCAACAATGCACGTTTATTTAATATTATGTTTTCTGATGAATATGTCATGGATGTAGTAGGATGCCTTGAGTACGACCCTAGTTCGGATCATCCATATCAGCACAGGAAATTCTTGACTGAAAGTGCAAAATTTAAAGAAGTTATGCCAATCACAAACTCTAAACTTAAGCAAAAAATACACCAAACCTACAGAATGCAATATATTCATGACATTCTATTACCTATATCATCCAAATTTCAAGAGGATTGGCTTTCTGATCTTACAACTTTTATTTTTTCCAATAAAATTGAAATAATTAGCATGCTGCATGAAGATGAAATGTTTTTGCATGAAGCTTTTAGTGAGTTAAAATATAACACTGTAGGTGATGAAAGACGGAGTGAATTGTTATTTTTCTTTAAGGAGTTCTTTGAATTTGCTAAGATATTAAATTTTCAGAAGAAGGATGAGTTATTGAAAACAGTGATAAAGCTAGGAATCATGAGTGCTCTGAAAGTTTCAGTATGTATGCAAGACAACAAAATAAAAGTAGCTGCTCTAGATATATTTACTTGTCTAGTAGAATTTAATGCACGAATAGTCCGAGTGTATGCAGTGGAAGAAGTTGAGGACAGTGAAAATAAGGATGATCTTCTCATCAATATAATGATCAGACAAATCATCTGTGATCCTGATCCTGAATCTTCTCATGTTTTAAGTTTGGCAGCAGTTCTCTGTGCTCTTCTTGACCCACAAAACATGTTTGTAACATCTAATAGATATGAAAGAAGAGAATTTATGAATTACTTCTATACGCATTGCATGGATAACTTGGCAGCACCAATTTTATCTATCACAGGACAAAATGATAGTGGTGATAACATAAGCAACATCTATTCTGATAATGACCAAAATCCACAATTACTTGGAATAGTTTTGGAATTGCTCAGCTTTTGTTTACAAAACCATACAACCTATATCAAAAATTATATTTTGAGCAACAACTTGCTCAGCAGAATCCTGGTGCTGATGAATTCAAAGCACACTTTTCTTGTTTTGTGTGCTCTGAGATTTATGAGACAGATGATTGGCTTTAAAGATGAAATTTATAATCTTTACATAATGAGGAAAAATCTTTTTGAACCTGTTATAAATGCTTTTCTTCGTAATGGAAAACGATACAATATGTTAAACTCAGCTATTATTGAACTATTTGAATTTATTAGAGTGGAAAACATCAAGTCTCTTATTGCAAACATTGTGAAAAATTTTTTTACGGCTTTTGATTCAGTTGAGTATGTTCAGACATTTAAAGGTTTGAAAATTAAATTTGAAGAACAGAAGGAAAGAGAAAGTCAAGTAAGAAGAAACTTACATGATATAATATATGAGAAATTATACTTCAGACGTATGAAAGCTATGGAGGTAAATGTCAAGGAGGAAATGTGTCCTAGAGTAAATACTGAAGATGTTCTGCCATTGGAAGGGGACTTGCTAAATTCTTATGACACTTTTATGAAAATAAAAGAGACAAGTGAAAATGAAGTAGAACAGTCAGAAGAAAAATTATTTGAATTTGACTGTTCATCTCGTTCTGAGGTTTCTGTTAGAGGAATGCGTAGGCCACCATACCGTAGCAGGATGATTCCATTAGTGGACTACTCAGATGATGATGATGATGATGATGATGATGACGACGACAGTGACAGTGATGATCATCAGGATGATGAAGAGGAAGAAGAACCTCCCCCCAAAAGACCTAATCTTGGTTCATAAAATAAGATGAGGCCCTCAACTTTTGATTCAAATAAAATTTGATAAATATCACAAACTGAAAATTCTAATTTAAAAGAAAATTTTCTCTTATGGACTTTTAGATATGGTATAAAGAATAGTAAATATGTTGAATAAAAGGCCTCGAATTTATATAAAGAAAATCTTCCATAATATAGATTCATAATATAAAACCAGCCCCTAAGTGATAACATCTTATCAAGAACAACTTATTTTAGCAGTATGGTTTGTGAGGAGGAAATGGTTTGATGAAGTAATACAATTTTCACTCAGGTCTTTATATTGCAAACAACTTCAAGAGCTTTATTACAAAACTTACTTTTAAAAGGGATCTAGTAACGGAAAAAAAAGTCAATATTAAAGTAAAAATAAAGTGAGACTTCCCAACATTTCTATAAAGATTTAGCAGAACTTCATCATTATGAATAATTGAGAAACAACATTCTGCACAATTAAGTGCATATGTTTATGAATAAAATGTTAAGCTGGATCCTAAATGAACTGTTGTGAATTTACTTCTTTTTTAGATGAGCAATATCAAGTATCAGTATCAATACAATTCTATTCCTAATGTGCATTCTCTATGTCCTCTGGGGAATAAAACAGGATGCATCAAATATCCAGATTGTTAAAGTTATTTCTTCAATCATTAATGAAACTTTGTACTTTTCCCCAGAGTAGTAGGTACATAATAGTATATACTTATTTCTTTGTGATTGCTGAAACAAAGTAACTAACAAAAACAACAGAGCAAATTTTAATTTTGTCTTCAGTGTGAGGCAATACATTCCATCCTAGTGGGAAAGGTATATGAGTAGATTATTCAATGATGGGAGGAATTGAAAGCAGCATGTCACCTTGCACACACAATCTACGAGCAACTAAATGCATCCTGATGTTTACCTCAATTTCTCTCTTTGTTTAGTGTAGGACATCAGCCCATGGTACAATGTCATACACATTCAAGTTGCCTTTCAAACTTGATTATTCCAGTCTTTAAACTGCCTCATAAATATGACAAGAATTTTGTCTCCTCAGTATAGATTCTGCTAAGTATTAACTATTACTAATTGATCCCTTGCTACTTAACGCCCATGCATATAACTTTTAAGTCATAATCTTCTACCTACATTTCATCCCAACAGTCTCATGACCACTTCATATTGCAAAATGTATGCCCTGGGCACCCTGCCCTGGGCACAGAGAATAGAACATGACCCTGCCCATCCCCATTAAGACTGAGCAGAAAAAGGAGACTCGGGGCAGCCTGCTCTGGACACTAAGGAGAAAACAGGGGCCGGGAAGTCAGGCATTATTTTTGTAGGCAAATATATGGTGTGATAATGGGGGAGAGGGAGAGGAGAGGGGGAGAAGGGAAGAGGGAAAGAGAGAGAGAGGGAGAGAGGGGGAGGGAAAGAGGGAGGGAGAGGGGGGAGGGAAAGAGGGAGGGAGAGAGAGAGAGAGGAAGAGAGAGAGAGAGAAATTGATTATTTCATGTCTTGTGCAAAAATGCAGATCTGAAGAGATACAGACTGCGAGGAACTTACTGATGAGGGTGACTCGGTTGCTACCCCAAGGTCAAGGGCAAAGGTGATTTCTGGGCCTGTTCTGCTGCCAAGACCTGTGCCTGGGTCTGTGGACCTCCTGTAGCTATGGTCTATGTTGATGTCCATGGCTCCTGATAGCATCAAAGGTCAATAGTATAGGACTGCACAGAGTTGGCCCTGCTCCTCACTGGCTGCAACACTCGGGAGAGCAGGCCTTGCACCTTCCCTGGGGAGCACAGTAGAGATGACCTTGTTGGTGGGGGTGACCGTAAGTCAGACTTGAGGACATGAGCATGGGAGAGCTGACCCCATTACTCTTCCGTGTGTCATGCAACTGCATGGTTAAGGGAAAAATGTCCACCTTGCCTCTTGTTCCACATCTCCTACTGAAGGTAAGGGAGCTGACTGGAGTACCTCTTATCAACTGCCACACTTGAGACCAAAGGCCCTGAACCTTGCTTAGAAAGCACAGTACAGCTTATCCTGTTGCTGGGGTCTCCTTCCCCCAGGAATATAAGCAAAAAAGAACTGGACCTGTTCCTCATCCATACGGTGGTGTGGGCGGGGGGGAGACATGCCCGTCTCTCACCATCTGTGGCAGTTGGGGAAACATAACCTGAGGTCATGAGAGCAGGACAGCTGGTCTTCTCCATCTCTATCTGCAGCACGCCAGAAAGTGACCGCTGCACCTTGCCTGGGCAACATAGTAGAGCTGGCCCTGATGGTATAGGTCTGGGTAAGCTGGCCTTGAGGGCCTGAGAAAACAGGCCCCATCACTTGCTACTTTTTGCATAGGGTGAACTAGCAGTGGCAACACTGGCAGGCTGGCCAACTCTGCAACTACCCAGGCAAAGAACCAGGGCTGTAGTTGGTCCATCCCAACATCCATTTCATCTATGGTCTGCTGGAGCATATGAAAGTGCTGGTCCTGTAGATCCAAAGCTTCAGTATCCCCATGACAGAGGGCAACAACAGGATATCCAAGAGAAGTAAGTCCCAATGAAGGCCTGTTTTCAATAGTACAGCAGAAACCAGAGGCCAATGTCTCTTTGCAATGAACATTTGCAGGTAAAGATAATGTGGACTAAAGGGTATAGTGTGTGATTCACTTTGTCACACTATAGCTTCCATGGTGAGATTTTTCTCTTTGGTCTCTATGTTTTTCTTTTCTCTTAAATTTTATTTCATTGTATTTTATTGGGGGAGGAGGTTGCAAGGGCAAAGAGTAGATACAAAAGAATGGAGAGATGAGTGGGATCAAGATCATGATAGGAAAGCCACAACGCATAAATAAAAAGTTAAAAAATATATTCAGTCTAACTGTTAAAACACTTTATAGTCTTTAAGGATTTCTATTTTTCTCAAAAATGTAAGGAGAGAGTCTCTTCCAAGACTCAGATATTCTCATAATTGTTAGCTCACATATAATAAAATAAAAAATGTATTGATAACTTTTGTGGTGATAAAGCACATCATGAAAAATCAATTGCTTCCTGCACAGATCAAAGTTGGGTAAAAAAGCATCAATAGGAGGCATTCACTTAATTATTTCTTTATAATCCTCAGTCATTCTCTCTGAGCCATTACATTTCCATATCTTGCAGCCACTCCCTTTGGGAGCCATTTTCTTTCAAGCCACCATACCCTCCTTAAACTAGGGGTATAACATCTCATCTCTGGGACTGACTTTATTAACTTCATCTGTATTTTTCTATCTTGGATGCCTTTCCTGGAACTATTCCTCAGGTTTGAAAGCCTTCTTGAAGGTCCTAAACACACAATTTGGCTAATGTTTCATTAGAAACTTCAGTTTGTCCCAAATATTGTTACATTTTAGAATAACTCAGAGAGACTCTGCTGTGCCTTTTTATCTCATCTAGATAGCTCTTTACCTGAAGGACATCAGAGATTTTAACAAAGTTGTTAGAGCTCTATACCAACCTTAAGGACCTTGCTAGATCAAACTATTCTTTAACTCTTCTGTGAACATAGTTTGTTCTGGCCCAGTGAACTGAAGCTCAAATATATCTTCTTTTATTCCTAATTTCCTCAGTAACACCTGTTCTTCCTTAATGGTCCTCCCCCTGATATTTGTGGAAATCTCAGAGATTATAGGGTAACAGTTATGAGCCCACTTCCATGTTTAAAAATTCACCAATCCCTGAGGTCAAAAATCTACAAATCTCTGAGCTCCCCCCAAAAAACCTGAGTTCAAAATCCCACCAATCCCCAACCTGAAAATCTACACCATGGAAAACTCCACCCCCAACAAACCCTATACAAAGATTCCCTCCTGCTCTTGTGTTAGATTCATTGTGCAATGTGACTTTGTGGTATTCCTGTGATTCTAACTGCCAGGATACTTTTCCTTTCAGAGCTATTTCCTTTCACTTGTATAGGGAAATTCTTTCCCTTCAGAACAAGTGCACAAGAAAAACTATTCCCCTCAGAGCAGTAACACTTCCCATTGGGGAAACTGTTATTCTTTTGGTCTGGTCCCTTTAAGGGGCAAGCCACGCCCACTCCCAGCCACTTCTGACCTCTTGGTCGCCATCTTAACCCTTCCTTCTGTCCCCTCTCTTAGCGTGTGCACACATGTCTTTATGTCTCTCTGTCTCTTTAAGTAATAAATGTTTACCTTTATGTTTAGCCTTACGTCTATTTATTATGTCCTGTAAGTCTTTTATCTGTCATCTGGTCACCCACCCGCCTAACTCTCCTGGTCGCATGGCTGGGCACTCCTGCCAGCTCTGTCGCTCGCTGCGGGGAACCTACACCACTCTAGCCATCTCTGCCTGGACTAGCGGCTGCAAACACGTCAACCTTATATTTTAAAAGAACAAAAGAAACCTTTACCTTTAAAGCTGTAACACATAGCCAAGTGTTCCTAATGGCTTTGATTCACCAGGCCATCAGGAACTTATTTCCCTCATAATGTCTCAGATTATGTAGCCTTTACCTTTAGGAAGGATGAGAAATCACATTACTCAGTTTTTCTGCCTCCACTGAAGTTAGACTAATACTGTCAACTCCCATATCCCAGTCTCACAAGTCTCACTGTGACTAGCTCTTTCATTGTTCCAGTCGTTCAAGAGTTGAATGTGTCCTGATTACCCTAGTTTCTTTCATTAGATATAATGAATATTATCATTAGATAATATTCTTTAGATATAATGATGGGGGTATATAATGCCCCCATCTGTATGTTGAATTACAGATTTTCTCTCTTCTATTAAAGGTTGAACCTGAGGGTAGCTTCTGTTGGTTTTACTACCTGTCTCTCATTCTTTTGTTTATCTAATTTATGAAGAGCAGTGTCCTGACCATCCTTGATAAATGGCAGATGTAAACTGAGTTAACCTTTAGGAGACAGAGATATGTGACCTGTGGGTTAGACATTGTCTCTGTTATGGGAAACTGGCGACACCAGAGGAGAGGCATAAGACTCCGGTTTACACCCGGAGGTACCAGGAGACAGTGGATAAATACAAAGGTTTAATTAATGAGCTCTGATAATGGAGGTTGTAAAGTATGGCAGTCAATATCTGAAAATTTACCTGGAAATAGTATGAAAGGCTTTTCTTCTAAGTTCTCAGCCCAAGAACCAGTTAATCCTAATTTATTAACCTTCTAGTGTTACAAGCAGCCCATTTTCTGACGAATTGCTAAAGATATCTGTTTTCTCGCAATTAGTGACTTTCGTTGTAGTCTCCCCTAAAACATATTTTATGATGGCTACCTAATTACTCATTGACATTAGCACTCACTCTTTAGAGTCTCCGCTGACCAACCCAAGGGTCAGGGCAAGGTTGTAAAAATTCTTTTGTTCAGAGATAATGCCTGGTGCCCCTTTTTGTTCTTTTAAAAAGAATATGTTATGA